CTACAATGGATTTAATGGGATCAGAATAACAATAGCAAGAAAACGAAAGGAACAACAAAATAATGATGGTAGGAACCAGTGAGTTCCTTGGATTATAAGGGACACCCAGCCTTGCTTTAGTATTCTTAGGTTCAGTCTCTGAAACCCTTAGTTACAACTACTTCCAGTGGACAAGTCTCGTGAGCTCTGCATTCAGAATGTCCTGAAGTGTGGTGACTTCCCCCAGTTCTCGAAGCTCCCTACATGATGGGGCCCCTCCAGGTGTGCATGTGACTGTCGGTATTCATGCTGGAACAGAATGTGACTTATCTGGTGAAACACACTAAGCAACCCAGTCTGAATTTAGAATATTCCTTAATGGCCCATTTAGACAAAAGGGGGTAAATATGAATAATAAAGTCAAACAAACCATGATCTTGTAGATGCGTTGTGAACTGGGCCAAAATGCAGCAGTCTGCCTGCTGAGTTGCATAAGTTGCCACAAACATGTCACCTCTGCGCTCCATTCTCTGCACTGGGTCTCCACTGAATACAGGCTCCATGCTCCCAGCTCTCCATTGGGATTGGCCATAGCCATCCTGATAAATTCATTTACCATTTCTTATGGCCGAGCACATTCGAGCTTAGAGATGAAGAGAATAACTGATCTCACCAAGAGTTCCCTTAGGATAGGTTTAGGTCTGATTAATACTGCCTCCCCAGCTTTGTTGGTCAAAACCATAAGACCACTTACAAAGCTCATGTAGAAGAAACTCTCACATAATAGCTTAGTTTTCTCCCTGGGAAAAAAAGCCAGTAGAGGAAGAGAACGATCTAGTGGGTAGGGTGCTGGCCTGGGAGACCTTTCAATTTCCTGCTCCACCACAGACTTCTTTAGGCAAGGCACTTAGTCTCTCTGTGCCTCAGTTCTCAAGCTGTAAAATGGGGTTAACAGCCCTGCTCTAGCTCACAGGGGTATTGTGAGGATAATTACATTAAAAATTGTGAAGTGCACAGGTAACACAGTAATGGAAGCCCTAAATCCTTCCTCTGCACATCAGGGATTTCACCCATAGTGTCCTGATTTTAAAAAGCCTCAAAATTGTTTAGAGAATGACATAAAGCAAGGAGAGGAAACCCATAAACTCACAGCAGAGGCATCTCAGAAAGGGAAGAAGGCTGCAAAGGAGCCGTTCAAGGATAAAGACAAACTTGAACATTTTCCCAGAAATGAAGATGCATAATTTAGAGCAGCCCAAGGCCATTGTGTAACTAATTTTACATATTGTAGGTCCTGTTCTCTTGTACTTCTCTTCTTCCCATTCTCCCCAAAATACTATATTGGAATGAAAAAGAAGATGTTTACTTGAGGAGAGAGGGACGAGTGAGAAATGCCCACTCGCCCAGCTCACCGGGTTGGATCTGGACAGTTGTATTATTTTGCTGCTGCTGCTATATGAGTACGGGAGAATCATCTTAGCTTAATATTACATGCAATCCAGCTGTTAATAAATCAGTTTCATGAAAAAAACTATAAAGCCTCTTGTTCCATGCCCTGGCCACAAACTGTTTGTGACCTTCAGCAACAGAATTATAATGATGATTATTTGCATTGCCATTCTACCTGGGAGCCCCAGTCAGAGACCAGCACCCCACTGTGCCAGGCGCTGTACAAACACAGAACAAAAAGACAGAATTGCTATAATTTTTTAACAAGGGTCTGTTAAAATCATCGTAGTTCAGCCCCCAAACAAAATGATTATTTTAATGAGTCGAACCTCCAAATACTTCATTGGCTCAATACACTCACTTAGAGGATACCAGTCTACACAAGATAATAAGTGTGAGAGCCAAAGGAGCTGGTAAAGGCACCATCCACACCAGTTGCCTACTAGCTTCAAAGATCTTCTTGGAGAAAAATACAAAGTTGCTCCCTGCAACTTCAGACTGTAACCCCTCCGCACTGCCGTTTGCAGTCTTGAAAAGTGCTAGATTCGCAGAACTGCAGATGAGCATCATCTTTTTATCCACAGATCCCTCGGGGGCAGGGCAGCTTCCCCACACCTCTTTGTCGATGTGCCTCAGTTGTGACACAGAGGAGCTGTGTTCTCTCGGTGACAGATTAGACTCCACATCCATTCTATGTTTGGGTTCCCTGCTTAGACAGTCAGTACAGATGCCAGCTGGTACATATGGCAATGGTGGTTTCTGTGATGATTCTGTGGGTAGGTGTGTACTAGGAACTGGACTGGGTTCACCAGCCTCATTTCCCTGAGGCCGCCGAACAGCCATCGCTTGGTAAAGCGGTTGAGTCTACCAGGATTCAAACTGATGAGCCGGGGTGTAATTGAGGGGAAAAACAGGTCATTTGTCAGGCTCCACACACAAAAATCAGCTCTGCCCAGGTGAGTCATCAAAATGAGATATTGCTCACAGTAGAATGTGCAGAGATTCAGAATAGGATTGGGCTCCACTGGCCTCCTCGGGCGTGGCTTCTCCTCTCTGGGGCGGGAATGTGCCCATGTGCTCCTTTTTGACAGGGGATAAAAGCAAGTGGTGGTATGTCCCAAGGGTACCACACATTTCTGTCAGCAAAATGAGAAGTCGGTTACAGTAAATCACACAAGTCTGTGCATAGGCGCCGACATTCTAATGTTCCAGGGGGAGAGGGTGTGCTCACCCCATCTCCACCCCAGACACCACTCCCACTTTACTCCTTCCCCCAAAGCCCCAACACCACCTTGCCTCTTCCCGCCCTGCCCTACCTCTTCCCACTCTGCCCCCTCCCCCGAGTGCACCCTGCTCTCAGTCCTCCTCCATCCCCCTCAGC